GAATTATGGGAAGATATCAAAAACATTATCCATAAAGAAAGCAAGAGATCACTAAAAAGACAAGAAAAGAAGAGAAGACCAAAGTGGATTAGCATGTATAATTTTCTTTTATACATATGCCATAAGTTTGGCTATTGTTTTGACTGATAATTAATAAATTCCCTTGTAAAAATCTTTGTATTTTAGAAATACATGATGTTTTAAAAAGCAGATATCCCATAAAAGCATACATGCAGTTTTGCAACTTGTTTTTTAAACTTGTAATTATATGTTGGGCAACTTTCTATTCTAGTAATGATGCATTCAGTGATACAAACTGAACACTGTATATTCAATTCTGTACACTTCCTTTTATAATATTCATTCTGGAGAGTGAAAGAGTAGACTATGATTATATGAACATTAAATTTTTAGATCAATTTTTTCCACTTGCTATTAGAAAGATTGTACCATGTTGGTTATTTCCTTGAACAGGGGTGAAAACTTTTGTTTCCCCCGTCCTTGCCAAAACTGGACATTTTAACTACATACTTTTTTTCCCATTTTACATGTTAATCTACTTCATTTTATTATACTTTGTAATTGTTTAACTATTAATGCCATTGAGCATCCTTGCATGGATACACGCAACTTAATTACATGGCGTTTTGGTTACTTGGTGCTGCTCTGACAGAAATATACCACAGATGGGATGGCCTTAAAAAACAGGAGTTTATTTTTACAATTTGTAGGCTTTAAGTCTGAGTTCAAAGTGCCAGGCTTTAGGGGCTGGGTGAAAGCCCCTCAACCTTGGGCTTCAGCTCAGCCTCCTGCTTCTGGCCCACTGAAGCTAGAGGCTTTTCTTCACTCGGCTGCTTGCTGCTGAGGCTGACAAGCCCAAAATTGACAAGTAATAAGGCCCAGTCCTGATGTTACCAAACCACATGTCAGGCCATTAATTCAAGTCCATTAAAAGTCCCAAGATCTGCAGAGCATGGCAGGCTGCTCAATAATGACATGGCTACATGCAGGGTCCAAGCGTGCCATAAGCTAGAGACCATTCCCAAAGCTGCTTCTTTTATATGGGAAGCAGA